CTGACCCCCTGCCGGGAGTCATTGTCTCACACAGAATAGGGGATCCAGAGCCTTTGTGCCAGGGAGCGGGGAAGACAGACATTATTATGATTTTGAATTCAAAGCTCTCATCTTTTCTTTCTTTCCTTTTATTTTATTTTTTCCCCTGGATCTAACAGCTGTTTCCCATCACAAGCAGTGTTTGAAAGACGTGGCAAAAAAACGAGTGTATCAGTATCACAATTAGTTTCGCAGGCGGCTGATAACTTATTTGCCCATCCATGCCTGATGTCATCAGGAAGGCCTGATTCACAGCTGTCTGTCCCTGCCAGTCCTACGGGGAGGGTCCTGCGGGCCTGCGCCCCACCCTGGGGTGCTGGGGTGGGACCCTCCAGTGGCAGGACTCCAGAGACAGCGTGGCCAGCGTTGAGCCCCTCCTCCCGCCCGCCTCCTCGCACCCGCCTCCTCCTCACACCTTGAGGTCAGAGAAGCTTCCAGGCTTCACATTAGCTCAGATGTGAAAGCCCCACGCTTTGGAGGGAAGGCTGCTGGTGGTGCTGCCAAATTATGCGTGTCTCGTCTTTGTGATGTGATCTACTACCATTCATTAAGGGCTGAGCCCAGACCAGCAGCTCATTTTTCTTGGGGACCCCAGGAGGGTTTGCGGGGAGTCCCAGCACCTTCTTTGCTCACTCAGCAACTTGGCTCTTAGGATTTTTTTTTTAATGAAAAATTTTCATGCAAAGCCGCGGAAACAGGCCTTTAACACAGAGTGAAAGGACCCCAGCCTACAAAGATGGAGGGCACGTTTTGGGGTTGTGGAATTCACGCGGACTTGTACAGAGTACCTTAGGAAGGCCATGAAGACCCCATGAAGGACTCAGGGCCTCCCTCTCTTCAGTCAACACATGGCAGATTTGAGCCGAGTTAGGAAAGTCACAAAGAAAAGAAAGAAAGTGACGTTGCTCAGTCATGTCCAACTCTTTGTGACCCCATGGACTATAGCCCACCAGGCTCCTCCGTCCACGGGATTTTCCAGGCAAGAGTACTGGAGTGGGGTGCCATCGCTTTCTCCAGGAAAGTCACAAGCACCAGGCTGAAAGTAAGGCTTCCTGAGTCTCAGTGACCAGGACTGGACCAAGCGCCCCAAGGAAACCAGTGGACGATGCTGATGGGAGGCCAGGCCTCCCCTCCCAGCTTTCAGCTGCCTCCCACCCCTGCAATTTCAGGGGGCAGAGAAGTGACGGTGCCAGGGCGGGGGGACGAGGCTCACGGGGAGCCCTGAGGAGGCCGCCTGGGCCCCCTGAACCAACTGCTGCTCCGGAAGCCCCTACCTTCCCTCCCCTCCCCACAGGGAGCCCCTTCCTCAGCCTTTCAGTTCTGGGAGCAATGTCCCAGCCCAGGACCCAGACAGTGAGTTCCCAGCCTGCCAGCCGGGCCAGAACCAGGACACGTAGGGCCTCCAGGGACCCTGGGGACGGGTTCCCCACCACCTTTCAGAAACCCTGCTGATTCCAGCACCACCACCCCAGCTGCAGCTGAGGACCCCCTTGGAGCAAAGGTAGAAACCAACAAGGGACCTCGGGCCCCAGACAAGCCCCAAACACCCGAGGAGGGTGTCCGCCATTTTACAGATTAAAAGAAAATAACCAAAGCCCCGAAACTCTGCCCCTGGGTGGTGACCTAAGACAGCTGCTGCTCCACCTACAGGCACACAGCGAGCCTCATGTTCTGAGCGAGTTTGACACAATGCGAGGAAGTAAAACCTGAGTCACCAGCATAATCAAAATCTGTTTGCAATTACTAAAAAACAGGGGGAGAAAAAAGATCAGTCCCCACGGTGTTCAACGGTGCCCATTGGTGTTATATCTGTGCTGCTGATTATCCCAGATTTGTGGAGAAAACAAAACAGAAATCAGCAAAGACTTGAATTCCCATTTGTTTTGTGTTTTTGTTTGCTATGTATTGCTTTTGCAGAAAGTTTCCAGTGACTAGGAGGTTGGTTGTTGCCTTGTTTGTTAGGAGGGGCGCTGAGCAGTTTTCACAAATAACTTAAAGAAAGAAAAACCAAACTGCCATCAAATGCCAAGGGAGGTAGAAGTTCGAGGTGTCCCTGTGGAGCGTGATTCTGCAGTTTTGGGTGTTTTTTTTTTATTCCCCTGTGTGTGCAAAAGACAGGCCAAGTTCGGCCGAGTCAGGGAAGCTCTGAGATGCTGTCCTTGGTTACTGAAGTCAAAGAGGAGAAGATGAGAGGGAAAAAGTGACAGTCCATCCATCTCACTCGGCATGTTTACATGTTCTTTTAACCAAAAAAAAGAAGAAAAAAAAACTGTTTACAAAATGGAGTGTCAGGAACATTATGTAAAAGAGCACTTATCTGGGAGACTTTGATCTCTGTCTGAAGTCCCATTAGGACCCTGAAAGGATGATGGCTAGGTCGTGGGGAAGAGGAGAAGCGATTTTTCCAGAAAAAAAGGAGCTTGTTGTACTGCCTCCGGGTTGTATTTAACTCACAAATCCTGTGAAATCCAGGGGACCAGCCAGAGGTGGGCCAAGGGTGCCGCCAAGGCACACAGCACCTGGGGAGCCGGAGGGCATGGCCTGCAGCCAACCCTGCCCAAGGGGCTGGTGGGCGGCTCTGAGGCAGAGGACCAGCCGGGAGAGGAGGCTCAGAGCGGTGTCCCCAGGCCTCCGTCCCAGCTGGGAGGACAGCCCACTGCAGGCTCCTTGTAGCAGGGCGGGCGCTGGGACGACAGCCCACTGCAGGCTCCTTGTAGCAGGGCGGGCGTTAGAGCTTTGTGGAGTGGGCAAGGGGAGGAAGGAGTAGGGAGGAGGGGGGAGGGAGGAGGGAGAGAGAGGGATGAGGGAGGGGGAGAGAGAGAGGAGGAGGGAGAGAGAGACGGGGGGAGGGGAGGGGGAGGGAACACTGTTATTAGATTTCCATACCCGCTTTTTTTCTTTCTTTTTTTTTTTGCAGCATAGTTGATTTACAATGTTGTGGTGTGAAGTTTCAGGTTTAAAACACAGTGATTCGTTTATATGTATGCATGTTTTCAGATTTATTTTCTGCTACTATGTCACAAGGTGTTCGTACAGTTCCCCATGCTCTGCAGTAGGACCTCGCTGTTGTCTGTTTTCTATGTAGCGCTTTGTGTCTGCTAGCCCCTAATTCATCCCCACTTCCCCCTTGGGTAACCACAAGTCTGTTCTCTATGTCTCTGAGTCTGTTTCTGTTCCGTAGATTAGTTCACTGCTATCAGCTAAATAATAAGACTCTTAGGCTCGAGCAAGACTTCAAGCAAGTAGAGTTCTAAGATGTTACTTCGGAACACCAGCTAGAGCCTCTTAACATTTTTTTTTTCATTAATTATTTTAACTGGAGGCTCTAACTGATTTGACCCCTTTTCATCCTAGCCGCGAGGGGGCAGTGCTAGCGGCTCTTACAAAGGAGGAAGTGAAGGTGCAAAATCGTCAGCAAATCACCCCAAACCACAGGTCCAGACCGAGGCCGAGTTCAAAGGCAGGCCTGCCGGCCCCCAGAGCCCTACCCTCATCCCGCTGAGGACGTGGGGCTTTGCCCGCGGGGAGCAGGCGACCACAGCGGCAGGGGGCCACTCAGGACCCCCAATTCCTCGTCTATGAAAAGGGCGCACGGATACCACCTACCGAAAGCTGCGGGAGAATTCAGTTAAAATTTAACTTTTTAATAAAAATTAAAACTTAATTTTTGACTGCTTTCCTGGTGGCTCAGAGGGTAAAGCGTCTGCCTGCAACGTGGGAGACCTGGGTTCGATCCTGGGTCGGAAAGATCCTCTGGAGAAGGAAATGGCAACCCGGCTCCAGCTCTCCTGCTGGAGAATCCCATGGACGGAGGAGCCTGGTAGGCTACAGTTCATGGGGTCACAAGAGTCAGACATGACTGAGCAGCCTCACTTTATTTTTCACTTTCAAAGCTTAATTTAATTCAGTTAATTAAATTTATTTAGATTGATTAGATCACATTTAAATCACACTAGCTGATATTTAAAGCACAAGTAAACTAAGCTACATGTGAACTAAAGGAAATGAAATACGTACAAGTCTGAGAACATTTAAGCAGTTCAAGGCCCATTCAAGTCACTCATGATGCTTGCAGGTGTCCGTGTCATCACCACTAGCATCGTTTTCTTTGCAAGTTTGCTCATGGCCGGGAGAGCTCACTCACGTTCACCCTGTAGGTGTGAGGAGTCCGCAGCAGTCAAGAAGAACAGGATTTTGAAATCATTTGTTACAGCATCCTATGAAGCTGACGTATGTTTTCTGTGTGAGTATTTGGCGAAATGACTCAAGTTTATCATCTGCCCTCAGGATCTGCCATCTGTCCATGGGGATTTCCCAGGCAAGGATACCGGAGTGAGTTGCCATTTCCTTCCCCAGAGGATCTTCCCAAGCCAGGGATCGAACCCTCCTCTCCCGCTTGGCAGGTGGATTCTTTGCCCCTGGGCCCCCGGAGAGCCCTGCTTTCCAACGCACATTTCAATAGCGCCTCTTCCAGCCGCTCCCTCGCCTGCTCCTCTGGAAGGCTGTCTCTGGGCCTGACACTCTGCCTGGCCTCCCACCCGCCTGCCGCCTGACCGTGTGGCCTCTCCCAGAGGGACAGATAAGCCACGGCCACGTCTTTCAGAAGTTTATCTGCCCCGTCAAGGTGGCCAGTCTAAAAGACGGACTGGGGCTGTAAGTGCGAAAGACGGCCCTCCTCTTCAGACAACAGGGTCTCAGTGCAGACAAGGAGGTCAGGAGGAGATGGGGGTCTGGCAGCCAAGGCCCCATCAGGGGGCGCCTCACCCGCGCTGAGATGGGGCGACTGGCGGAATCTGACCCACAGGTATCACACTCAGGCCCCACAAGCCACACAGCTCTGAGGCCGCAAAATCGCCCTTCTGCGCTTCTCGGGAAAACTGGGCTGGAAAAGCTACCCTCCTTCAGTAAGGAGGACGATTGAATCCCACCTCTGTTATTCCTGGGGCCCGACTCGCGGACACATGGGGCGAGGCGGAGGTCAAGAGCGAGGCCCCAGGAAGATGGGCCGGGCACGTGTGGCCGGCTGGGCGGCATCCCCAGAGGAGGAAGGCTGTGGCCCTCAGAACCCTCACACCGAACCTTGTCACGTTCGCACTGAGATCCGGTTCATGTGCAGTGATGACACCCAATCTGCAACCCTCTGATGGGACGAAACAGCCAGCCCTGTTGACCCTCTAACCTCCCACCCTGACATTTGAAGGTCACCCGGGAAGACACGGGGACAGAAGAGCCTGGCAGGCTCTTCATGGGGCTGCAAGGAGTCGGACACAACGGAAGTGACTTAGCACACACGCACATACCTCACAGATCTTATTCCCCAAAATGTGACGGAAGGTGTCGAATCCTACTTATGGGACCAAAGCCTCCCCACGCACGTGACAACTGCCCCTTGAATAACACAGAGGCCGGGGCTGCAGACCTCCCTCCTGCCCCGCCTGGTCCTGCCAGCTCGGCCTCTAAAACAAAGGAATTGATGATGAATGACTCAGCCAGGGGCAGGGAGCCGAAAGAGACTGGACGGAACCAGGACGCACACCTCAGTTCTTCTAAGCCCTCGTGTCATCATCTCTAATCGATCACAGATTCTCCGCACACTTACTTAAAGATCCGTAGAATGAAAATACAGGCGCTGCACTTATTGAAAACACACCCTCCTGTAACCGGACCAGCCTGTGTGGTTCAGGGTCAGCGTGTGCATTTGCTCCGTCTTGGTGCAGGTCACACTGACTGACCGCTGACTCCGGTTCACACTCCGTCTGTACAGCACCAGCTGCGTTTCCAGGGTATCAGAATCCCTGAATGATGCTGTGATCTACACGGATGCAGACAGGAGGAGCGGCACCCTGCGCCTCACCTCCAGTAACAATGCAGCGGAGCTGTGTACACGGGAATTGAAGGCGCCAAAGATCTGTGAGCAGGACACACGCGCTGACGCCAGGACACACGCGCTGACGCCGGTGGACACGGAGCAGTGTAGCGACACCGTGTGGCCAGAGCCGGCCACAGCCCTGCCTCGCCGCCTCTGTGTCATCACTCAGACAGGAGGGAGGGGGACAGCTGGGCTTCGTAACAGCTGCCAAGACCCCCCTCCTGCACCCACCCAAACTTTCCCCCTTCCTCTGGCTGAGTTTCATCATCCCTAGATCTGACAGATCCGCTCTCCGAAAAGCCCTAGAACTGGGTGGGGGGGGGGGGGGATGATTTGTTTGCTGTCCAGGCAAATAGCTGTACACTTCGGTTAAATTCATTACTCACATTTTATGTCAATGATTTTCAGGTTTCTTTGTAAAGCAGTGAGTCTGGCTCTGGCTACTCTTTGAGCTATTGACGCTCAGAAAAACAGAACATTGTTTAATTAAAGCAAATCATATAATGTATTTCTTTGAAAGAAACCACATTTCATGTTCCAAGCCCACCAAGATAGTGAATACAAATAAATTCGCTTCACTTCCGGTACGTACTGTCTTTCACATCTAATCTACTAAGCACGCTGCGTTGGAGTTCATTATTTCTAAAGAGAAGGGTTTCAGCGCGTCATCTTGAGAGCACCGACTTCACCATTCGGGGCATTGTCATAGCTGTTGTTTAATTTACCGTTCAGTTTCCACAGCTGTCATCCTGTGGTCTTGACGCACATGTAGTCCAAAATGGTTTTGCTGCTTCTTTTCTTCCAGGAATATGGGGAGTGTTGTCAGACCAGTTTTACAGCTTTGACCTGAGTGGCTTTGCATATTTACAACAGATCCTGAAGTTGGGGCTTCCCCCTGTGGCTCAGCCTGTAAAGAATCTTCCTGCAATGCACCCAGGAGATGCATATTCAATCCCGGGTCGGGAAGATCTCCAAGAGGAGGAAATGGCAACCCGCTCCAGTATTCCTGCCTGAAAAATCCCATAGACAGAGGAGGCTGGCGGGCCACAGCTTAAAGGGCCACAGAGAGTTGGACACAACTAAGCGCAGCACCGCACGGAGGGCTGGTGGTTTGATTTCTTCAGCTCCCTGAATGCGAATTTGCCGATATGCTCAAACCACGTGCTTGGATGAAAGGCTTTGACAAACACTTGCCTGGCTCCGTCCCAGACAGCACTCTCTCTGGCACCTACTGTGTGTGCAGAGAATGTCCCAGGCCTTGGATTTGAAGTCTGGGATGACTATGCCAGCCAGAATCCATTCTGGAAGCAGAATACTCATTTTTCTAGCTAAAAGGATTCAGTTCAAATGTCAGCTGGGTAATCTGCTGATAGATAACTAATCAAACCTTTCAAAGAAACTATTTTCAATAAATAATTTGAATTTTTCTGTTCTGCTATCAGTCCCAACCAAGATGACCACTCAAGAAAAATCATGTTTCGTCCTTATGCACCCAAATTGTCTATTCTTCTCAATGTGCTGGCATCACTCATTCAGCCCCTGCACTGGGCAGATACTGTACTGGAGGCGAAAATATCAGCCAAGATAGAAAGGACCCAGTCATCGCACTTAACAGGCTTAAAGTCCAGAGGAAGACAAGAGACACATGAAGATTTTAACTGGGATGGGCAGTGAAAAGTGGGCATCACCAGGATGCACAGCAACAGAATCTATCAAGTGACTGAATACAGAAACGCGCATTGAGAAACCTGGAGAGCGAACCCGCCCCAGGCCCAGGCCCCCTCCAGCGCCCACTGAAGACGCTGCTTCTCCCAGGTTGGTGAGGAAGGGATGGGGGAGTGAAAAACAGACACTAAAGGAACCTGACCAGGCTCCTCCTTCTCTGCACATTTTAAAATAAAGGACGAATCTATTTCCTTCCTTTGAATTAAGGTAAACGTGAAAAGAAACGACTGCAGGAGGTGGAGGCTGACCCCCCCGCCCCCCCCCCCGTGTGGCTCCATCTCCTTAAGGCACGGCTAACCCGATGATAAATGGTGAAGTCACTTGGGCCAGAGCCAATAGCTCTCTCCTTCTGTTCTGAGACCTGCATCCAAATCCAAGCCTGTGAAATGGCTTGGGTGATCTTAATTTGACAGTTGTCAACATTTCAAAATCATTGCCAAGTTCAACCAAATGGAAGTCTCTCATCAAGCCTGGCTCTGGGAGTGTGTGTGTGTGTGTGTGTGTGTGTGTGTGTATGCCTGTGTTGTGTGTATCAGAGAGTTGCCAATCTGAGCCCGTATAATACACCTGTGCACTCTCCCTCAGTCATGTCTCATTAGCATCCTTTCTACATGACAGGTTCCATGGGAGGGGGAGAGGAGGTGGCACTTAAACCTCAGTAAGTTTTGGTCCAAGAAGGAGCAAAATTCGCAGATGAAAATTTTGAGAGAGAGGATTCAACTAATGAAACATTAAAATCTAAGAAAATTGTTGCACAGAATATAAACTTTACATAAAAAAGAAAGAGGATGGGATGGTGGACAAAACAATTCATACTGAGCATTCCCTTTTTAGCACAAACATCTCAGTCTAAGCTAGATCTGAGAACAGTTTAACTGATTCCACATCAGCAGAAAAGCAATAACAAATGTAATGAAAATAACCAGGAAAGTAAAGAGACTTTTCTGAGATTTGCCATGTACAAGACACCTTATTTGAAAATGAAACTACTGGCTCAGCAATCATGGACTCACCAGAGAGAAGTTCGTAGTAGTTCACTGTTCTTCAGTTGCTAGTCGTGTCCAACTCTTTGAGACCCCAAGGACTGCAGCACACCAGGCCTCCCTGACCTTCACTATCTCCTGGAGCTTGCTCAGACTCACGTCTATTGAGTCAATGATGCCATCCAACCATCTCATCCTCTGTCGCGCCCTTCTCCCACCCTCAATCTTTCCCAGCATTAGAGTCTTTTTCAATGACTCAGTTCTTCGCATCAGGTGGCCAGAGTATTGGAGCTTCATCTTCAACATCAGTCCTTCCAATGAATATTCAGGGTTGATTTCCTTTATGCTGAAATAAAAACTTGAAGATACCTAAACCCTCTGCGTAGGGAACCCAACTCTGATCAAAGGAATCTTTTCCCTTTTTTCTTATAACATGCACTCATGCAGAACCTAAAGGTCATTTCCATTAGTGCCAAATATCATGAAAGTATAGAATAGAAGAAAAAGAACTTTTTTGAGACTTTTTTTCTTGTTTCAATATATTGGAATGACTCTTACCCCAAAATTAAAGTCTTCCATAAAAGTGTAGATGCATAAATACAAACTCTTGCCTGATAACAGTGGATGAGAAGAGCATAAGTATTGAATAAATGTTTGTGAAATAAATCAATGGATGATCAACAGACATAACAAATCCACATTGTTCCATAAACAAAAAAAATTAATTTAAAAACTGTGTCTTTTTAATTTATGGTTAATACTATATTTCCAAAACCAACACCAGCTAAATTGTGCTGAATCCGTATGTTGTATACAGAGGGCCAATTGCCTTTAAGTTCCTGTAACCAGCTCACTGGAATAGTGACTAAGAAAGTCTCTGGAAGGGTCTTGATCTTGTGCAAAAATCATGGTCAGCACCCTGAAGAATTCAGTCTCCCTGGTCCCACACTTTGTGGTGTGGATGTGCTGACTCCACTGGGATCCATCTGTCCAAACAGCTGAGAATTTCCCCTGCTGCATTCATCCATGACCTCACCTGACCCGCAGGTGACCCTTGGTAAGAGATGCCCTGTAGAATGGCTCCCTGATGGCCACGCAGCGTTACCTGGTCCTTCCATCCCAAGGGCCAGATCAGGTTCTGTAGAGGAAACAGAATGCCAACAATGGTCTCGACAGTTCAGAGATCCACAGGGGACTCTTCACACCCATTGCCCCATGTTTCCTGTTGATAGAAGTGTTCATTTGAGGGCCTGCCATGATGGCAGGGTATGAAGAATGCCCATCAGCAGTAAGAAAGGACGGTGCCAGGCGGGCAGCGAACTCGGGGCAGAACAGAGACCACACGCCCTGTGCTAAAGCAGCGTGTGTCAGAAGCAGGAGCCTCGGGCCTTCTGTTGCTGACCACACACATTCTTATACCAATATGGTGACTGCGTTTAGTTAAAATGGTTACTGTGGGACAATGTTAATCTTCATGCAGTTGTGAGAAATAACAGAGAGAGGCCCTGTACCCTTTTCTCAGTTTCCCCAATGATGACACCTTACCAACCGTGGTACAATAAGCACAACCAGGACCCTGACGTGTCCCCCGCCTCCCCTGACGCTGCTGCCCTTTCACCAAGCCGCTTGTCTCCAGCTCCCCACCCTCCTCTACTCCTGACAAACCCTGATCTGTTTTCTGTTCCTATGATTTTATCACATCAAGAATTTATACAAACTACAAACTATTACACAGAGAATGCATTAACAACAAGGTCCCACTGTGTAACACAGGAAGTGGATTCAGTATCCTATGAAAAACCATAACGGAAAAAGATGTTGTCACCTCCAAATTGGCACTTGCCATCTACCTCTACAAGGATTGAACTAGGAGCCACTGCAGCTGCTGACCATCAACGCCCCCTGAAGGGAGTTCAAGATGGAGATCCGGAACGAGGCATTCTGTGCTCTGGGAAAAGCTGGGAAAACAGGTCTTCAGATAATTAGATATTTTAAGGAGATGATTTTATGAGCCCAATTTTTGCATCTTCTCATATCTAGAAAAGCACTAACATCTGCCAAGGGGACTTTTTTGCAGAAACCTGCAAAAATATGTGCTTGATTGCATGCACTCCACCTTGACCAAAATCACATATATTGACCTTCCCCCTGCCTCTTTGGAGCAGTCTCTCAGAGCTATCTGAGGTGCCGTCTCCAGGGCTGCAGTCCTCACTTTGCCCCAAATAAAGATAAATTCTTAACTCCCACATTGTGCATTTTTTCAGTTGACAATATTACTATATATATATGAATATATATAACTGAATCACTTTGCTATACAGTGGAAATTAACACATTGTAAATCAACTACTTTTTAAGTTTTAAAAAAAGAATTCATGTAAATGAAATCAAACAGTACGTAACTTTGGGGATTGGCTGTTTTGACTCAACATAATTCTCTAGAGATTCATCCAGATCACTGTATCAACAAAATTCCATTTTATTCCTGAATAGTGTCCCACGGTGCAGGTAGACCACAGTTGGTGTAAACATTCAGTCACTGACAAACACCTGGGATGTTCCCCTT